CAAGCAGCGACTCCCACAACAGAAAAAGTGCCCTCAATCCAAAGAAGCAGAGGGTGGTCCGATCGATCCCTTCCACCGACGAAACCAGCGTCATGCACAGAGCGTCTCAGAGAGAGGCTCGAACGGGGAAGTCCAAACCACTCATCCATGCACTCCAACTTGCTCGTGAACTCCAAGCCAAAAACATGCTGATGATGAAAAAGAATGGAGATCGTCCATCTCAGAGCTTGAGGGGCTGAGACCAGAGGTCTTGACAGCAAATCGGACTCTTTTTTCTTGTCACAGTAACCCACGGCTGACTGACATTGAAAGAATCACCCTTCTATCATCCGGCAGGCCAACATTGAAGAATCAGCTCTCGGCAGAGCCATCGTGAAGAATCAGATCCCGGCCGCCCAACAGTGAACAATCAGAGACCATCGTCGACCAATAGCTTCCATCCTCCACATGCAGTACAGCCAAGACAAGCCTGTCCCTACAAACGTAGGGAAAGACAGGTATGCACGATGGACATCCCAGGAGGGTGGTTTCGTGCAGGATCTTGCAAAGTCCAGGAAAATCTCCCAAGACCTTCTCTCCTTCCAGAAGAAAAAACACGCCTGAGATCGAACAATCAAACCAATGGAGCTCTGACCAAGTCCAATGGATCTCGAACGTCCACGAATCCATCGCAATGGGGCAACTGGAATGAATCAGGAACCCTGTGGCAGTGAAACGCGATGGCTTCCTGGGCCAGTGACGGAACCACGGGTTTTGGACCAGGGAATCGGCAGAACAAGCAGTCCAACCACCAAACGATGATGAAGAAAGGCTGGAACAGATGGTCCACCCAAAAACCAAGGGGATGTGGACGCTCCTCGAAAGGTGGAATGGACTTGCTTGGGTCTGCACGCCTTTTTGGCTATGGAGAATGGACTTGCTGGGGTCTGGTTGGAATGGCTATGGAAAGGTCTTGCTCGTTGTGGAGGAGAAGGGAGTTCTGGGACCACAGTGTTCCCCCAAAACACAACGCGTTCGACCGTCTCTCTCTGTGTGGGTGTGACCGAACCACTTCCATTTCTTCCCTCAGGGCAAGCTATGGAAACATACACGAGCGCACAAACAGACGACTTGCCCAGGCAACCATCCAAGAAGTACTCCACAGAAGCCGATGTTTCGCACATCGTTATCCATCCAGAAGCCGATGTTTCGCACATTGTTCGTCACGTGCTCGAGGATTCATCAGGGGATGGATCCAGACGGCCTGGAGAAGGGTTGCTCTCCCCAAAAAAAGTCACCAAAGAAGCCAATCAACAGGATGTGTCTTGGTGAGGAAAGCACCGACGACTCCACACAGTCAGGCAACAGTCAGACATCAGCACCACAGGTCAAAGACAGAGGGGGCCTTTAAGGTCGACCGCGTTGAGGTAGCCGGCAACTCACTGAGGCAGAGTGTCAGTGCCCAGTCCACTTGGCCAGGCTGTGAGGTCGAGTTGGGGACCTGTCACTGTTTGCCCTACCACGTCCATCTGGTTCACACACGCGTCCCATGTTCACACGCATTCCCGGAGGGTCATCGCCGACGACAGAGTCTATCCTCTGTGGTGGTGCTCCACCGCGAGGTCTGTCAGACGAAACCACTTCTCTAGGCACCATGGCAACCGCCATGGCAAGCCAACTCCAGCCCTTCAAGTTCTCTAGTACCTGGACGACTTCTGCTCGGCGAATGACTTTCAGCAGGGCAGCAAGGGTGTGGTCCCACAGGGAGAACTGCAAGGATTTCTTGGTGTCCATGGCTTTTCTCCAACATCCTCGTCAAAATGATCCCAAGGGATGTCTCCAAGCTATTCAACAGCATTCTTCCAAGGCCTTGGATGTCATCGTCGTCCGTGGTTTCAGGTGACCCTGTTACCAGATCCAAGTGAACACCCAGTGGATGTCTGGAGTAACCATGCTTGTCAGGTGGCTCTGTTCTTTCCCAGCATCAACACTGCTTGCTCAAGTAAGTCGGTGCGTTCTTGCCCGGTGTCAGAACTGCTTGCTCAGGTAGGTGGGTCTGTCAACCCTCGTTCTTCCCCGGCCTCAAGGAAATGCACCCCTCGGCAACCAGAAGAGCACGTGAACCAACAGGCTGCGTCCTGTCCAAGGTCGGCCAGGAAGGTCTGTCTCGGTGGTCTTGCTGTCACTGGATTGGGGGCAAGGAATGCACCCTAACTCCCTCGAGTAGGTCCGAGTCCGAGCTGTTGGACCTTCATGGTCCCCGAGGGCCACGTCCAACGTTCCAGGAAAACCGCGGAGGGCTGAAAAAAAGCAAAGGCAAAGGCAAACGGTCCAAACAGAGGAGAATAGCCAAAAGGACATGACCATCTACCCATCCAGTGAAGACTCGCCAAAGACCTCCAGATCACCAAGCTAGGAGACGATCAAGAAAGGAGACCTTAAACCCAAGTGGCGCAAAACAAAAGGGAGTGGTTGTCTAGCACGAAGAAAAATAGGGGATGGAGGACAGCCAAGAAAGTTCAAGAGCGAAAACCTGCTCCTCCTACGAGAAAAAACCGGCCAGAATACAAAAATACCAAAAAAACAGAGACAGCTTCTAAAACAGGTGCCAACCAGAAAACCTGCCCGTAAGGGAAAAGGGGGAAGGGGGCAACGTGGACTCCACCTGCTGCCAGGTATCACAGCCCTACTGGAAGACGACCCCAAAAAAAAATCAGCAAAGCGAGACGGAGGGAAAAAATGAGGTGTCGGATCCTGTGGAGCACAAGGTCTCCATCACACAAGACATCCTCATCGAGTCGAGAAAGAACGGAGAGGGACTGACTTGTCCCGGTTTGTCTTCGACCAAACCGGGGGTGGGCTCAGGTTCACATCACGGCCCAAGTCGGTTTTCCCCCGTGGGTGACCCAAAAAAAACCATCGTTTACCTGCAATGGCCTGGCGTCGCGGCGTGGTGACGATCGTGGTGGTGGTGGTGGTGGTGGTCGTGGTGGCCCCTAAGTGGAACGAACAAAGGAAGACATGAGCGAGGGAGGCAAGGGGGCGCGGGAAGGCGAGGGTAGCAAGGGGCGCGGGAGCAAATCAACCGATGGGTTCCACTTACCCGTTCGTCGTGGTCGTCGGGAGGACCAGCGGAAGACGGTGGTGGTGGTGGCGGATCCATGCTCTGTAAGTAAACCCCATGGTGAGAATGAGCGTGAGGGGGACACAGGGGCAAGGGGACATTCAAACCATGGACTCCACTTACCCGACAAACGCCAACACAAGCGTCGAAAATGGGCCAGACCCAACACTTGTCGACAGTGAGGGCACGTGGGGGTCGGACGGGACGGAGTGATGGCCAAGGCGGCGTACAAACAGGTTTTATGGACCAGCACGTGGCAACAGGGGGTACGGATGACGGCTCGGACCAGTTCCCTCGCACACAGAAGACAAGACTCCACAGTAAAAGGCCACACCATATCATGTAAGACTGCATGAAGATTGCGTTTGGAGTCGATGGGTGGACAGAGGTCCTTTTATGGTGTGGGAAGAGGGGTCTCATGAATGGGACCCCCCTCTAACCACCCCCCAAAAGAGGGGGGGATACCCCCCCATCCCCCCTCTGTGGAGGGTGGGTCGAGAGAGCCCGGGACCGAGGTCCGAGGTGGGTATATAGCGAACCGGGGAAAGCCCGTTGCATTTTCACTGCCAAGGCTCACTGTCTCATTGGGTCCCTTGGTTGTTCATGTTTGGTTCCTGTTGACACCGGCTAACTGTCTCATGGCGTCGTGCTTGAAGATTGTGGGCAACGAGGCGAGATGTTATTGTTCCGTGCACCAAGGCGCGGACGTGACCCGAGGTACGTTAGAACGCGTGGTGCACCCTTACCCTCTACGGCACGCACACACCTGGCCGCGAGCCCCGTGCTATTGTGTTTGGTTATTATGCAGAGTCTTTGTCCTGGTACAATCGCAACGGACCAACGTGCATTCGTTTTTGACCCAGCGAGAGCGTGGAGGGCCTCACCCCGTGTTAGACTCGGTCGAGTGTTACCACCACAGCCGGTGGGTGAGCGATTGCCATTATTATGGGGTGGGCAAATCGGCCCCGCCCGACTCGGACTGAACTTTTTGTTTCTTTTACAGACGGCGTCCGCATCGAGAGCGAATCCCAGGAACAATGCGAGTGGATGTATCGGATGTTTTCCCACCATTCCTTGCCCACCCCTGCCTCGTGGTGTTTTACCCTGTTGAGCAAGGAACTCCCAGCGCTGCTCCGATGTATGACCACGGGCAATTCCGATCGAGTGAGCAAGAGACTGTTGGGCATCTTCACGTACCTCACGAAATGGGACCCCCAGACCCAGACCTTACCACCCCCGGAACCCATCGAATTACGGGCGATGATTTGTTGTGGCCTCACCAAGGAGATGTTGCCTTTACCCACCGCCGTGAAGATCCACCCTGCCTTCGATTTCTTGAAGATCTTGTTAGCTGAAGCCGAGATCGTGCCCGACGAAGCGCTTTGTGAACGACCCGTCTTTAAAGTGTACGGACGGTGTGACGAATGCCAAGCCCTGTTGCGTGAATGCCCCACCCAGAAAGATGTGGGGTTGGCCCCCACCGAGGTCATGTACGTGATGATGCCCGCCGAATGGGCGGAACCCGTGAACTGGACCGACTGTCATGAGGGAAGCTCCCAAGGAGCCAAGGACGGGAACTAGGGACAAGTGTGATGTGTTGTAAAAACCAATGTTCAAGTAGGACGCCATGAACCCACCCAAAAAAAATACTGAGATGTAAACCGTACACTGACAAAAACACCTTTATTTTTTTGGTCACTAGAACTCTACTTTAGATCAACCACAATGTAAGTCTTTGCCTCAATAAACACGTTACAGTTTCAATTTGCGTTTGGCTTGCATGATTTTTTTCACGATGCCTTCGGTTAGGGTCTTTTTCCCCGGGAGGTTCGTGATGGCCCGAATCATCTTGTCGTCGGCTTTCCACTTGTCCTGGAGATTGCGCGCGCGAGAATAATCAATGTCGTGTTGTTTGGAAATGCGGTCCAATCGGTTGATGCCGGGATCCCCGCGCTTCAGGCGTGTCTCCAAATGGGTACCTGGCCCCATGTATTGGTACCCGGGCCAATGAAATTCGATGCCGGTCTTGCCCAACCATTTTTGCACGTCCAACCCCCGACCGACCATGCGGCGGCGGCGGCGGCCACGGCGCGACGTGCGGCGTCGGTGGCGTCTAGTAGTCCTTGCCATCGAGTTTCCGCTTTACCTTTTCTCCCCACACGCTCCAACCAGGTTGAGGTCTCAACTTGCGCTTCTTTGGGCCCCTTGGGGAGATGATAACTGAAGGGGGGTTTTTTCTTCGGGATGGTCGCCGGGGACTTGCCTTTGCTCAAGGTCGACGTGCCTTTGCTCTTGGACGTACTCGGAATGGGCTCCGCCAATTCCTCTTCCCAATCGTCCTCCGGTAACGGGACCAAGGTGGGCGTCTTGAACTTCGGCTTGGTGGGACCTTCGGTTTCCCTTTGGGTGTGGCCTTGGGTGGGGCGTGCTGCTTTTTTATAAGTGTTTTCAAGAAGGTCTCCATGGGTCCTTGGGCAAACTCGTCGCCGTCGTCGTCGGCCCCCGCCGCGGCCCCTCCGGCTCCTGGCAACGCCATGGTCCGCACGCGTCTGGTGGCTCGACGCACCGCGGGTCCCAGGGCTTTGACGCGGATCTTTTTGGTGGCCGGCGGGATGTTGGGGGAGGCCAGCAAGACGTGTTGTTTGGCCGCCAACCGCGCGGCATGGTTCAACCGCGAATTCTCCATCAACGCCCCTTTGTAATGGTCCACCAACCGCTCCATGTCCTCGGGGGACACCACGTACTTTTTCTGGTACGGTCCATGACTCATCGTGACAGGCAACGACACACGCGATCCAAAGCGTGCCACACGCCCGCCCCGGTTTGACTCATCATGATTTGCCGTCGCCGTTTTATGGAATGCTTGCGACGCGCCATGTCGCGCAAGGCTTGCTTGTGCGGACGCAACTGATCCAAGAGTCGAGGCGGGACGGTCACATTCCCTTTCAAGGTGTTCATCACCAACTCACTGATGGCATTGACTTGATCGGCATTGGCGTGCTGCAATCGTTCCCGTCTCACGCGCTGGTCGGCTTCGCGCAACACGCTCCGCAAAACGGCAGTTGTCGTTGTAAGCGTCGCACCATGGTGTCCTCCGACGGTCAACGGTCCAGGGGTCTTTATAGAGTGACTGGGTCCCTATCGGCGTCGCCTCTTGCCCGCGGCGAGGGCCAGAGGGAGGACCCAAGGTAAGATGCTTCCTCCTCCTCGTTGCCAGATGCGTCTCGGGGCCACCTGGGTGTGGCCACCAACCCCGTCGTCGTCGTCGTCGTCTCCGTCCGCGTCGAACCATGATGCGATGTGACGGGGTCAGGTTCCGTGACTGCTTTTTATACCGTGTTGGGCGTGGACAAACGCGAGGATGTGCGATAGACTTCGGGTTCTCCTCCATCCTTGTAGACCGTGGTGACGGTATTGGTATGCGTGATGCCGGCAATACGGCGCCCCACGGACCGTTGACGGGCATCTTCGGCCAACAGGTCCATCTGTCGTCGCAATTCGTCTTGATTCATGCGCGCTCGTCGTCGAGGGGGCGTGCCGCAGCCACGCCCACGGCCACGACGGCCCCCTCCTCCACCGCCGCCGCCGCCGCCGCCGCCGCCCCCGGGCGGGCCTCCATCGTCGTCGCCCCCTCCTCCGGGTGGCACCCCGCCGCGGCCCCGACCCCGGCCTCGACCTCGACCTCGCCCTCGCCCTCGCGGTGCCCGGGGGGGTGAAGGGGTCCGGGGCGTGGCGGGACGGTTCACGACATAGTCGCGTAATTGGTCCTTGGTGAGACCCGCGGCCCTCAACATGTCCTCGATCTGCCCGGGCAAAAAATTCCCTCGGGCAATCCGTTCCATGACGTCGAGTTGTGGGGCCGTGAGCGCGGGCGTTGGGGGGCGTGCGGGCGTCGGGGGGCGTTCGGCCATGTAATCGGCCAATCGGTTGGCGTCGAGCCCCACCGAGTCCAACAGGGCATCGATTTCCTCTTCGGGCACCTCGTTTCGAAGAATCTGTTCCATGACCCCAATTTGGCGGGGACTAAACGTGGGCGACGGCAAGTCCCGGGCCGCGGTCCGGATGGCCTCCGCACTGGGCAGGTCTGCCCTGGGGGCACCAGATTGGGCGCGACGCCTACCCCGGCCGGTGGGGCCGTGGGAATCCCGAGAGGTCCATGGCCCGTGCCAAGGCATCCCGTACCCCGTCGGCGTGACGAGGGGGACCGTCCCACACCTACCGCCAAAGGCGTGGTGTGCCCTTCCAGACGTTCCGATAAGTCCCGTTGCCGACCTCCTTGACGACGCCGCGCTTGTCGTGCCTGTTCTCGCGCCAGTTCATTCTCCCAGGTCAAGACGTCGAAATCCAGATCGTCCTGAAACTCGTCGGACGACGGCGTGGTCCGTCGACTCATGCTTGGCGTTCATAGGTCTCCGTCGGTCCTTCCTCCGGTAACACGTTGGTGAAGAGACGGTACCGATCGTCTGACGCGGGATGCAGGTCCAGCATTAAATAGCCAAACGGGCGTTGGGTGCATTCGCGAAAGATGTTCATCACGTGCGACCAGTCGTTGGGAAAGGCTTGCAGGGTCAACGTGCGCATGCCCACTTGATCCCGCGGGTTCTTGAACGCCACGATGTAATGGGCATTGCGCGAAATGGTCTTGGCAAATTTCCCGGGCGGGAAGAGATCCTGGCATAAGAACAGGACGCTAATGTTCCGATGATGCGAGTGCTTGGAAAAGAGATCCAACACGCGTTTGTCGTTGGCGCCTTCGTCCATGAGATCGTCCAAGACCAAGAGTCCCCCTTGCGTGGGACCGAACCATTGGTCCAAGTCCTCCGAGGTGGGCAATCCTTCGTGAAACTGGACCTTCTCTTGTGTCATCTCGTCAAAGGCCGGTTGCCAGGCCCCGTAACAATAATGTTTGACCCGAGGCGGCGGGTGCATCAGTTCGTCGGCATGGCGTAACAACCCGCGCGTCCACGTCGATTTCCCACACCCCGACGGACCGCCCACCAGTGTGTTGCAGGGATGACGAATCATGATGTCACCATGGCGTACAATCGCGGCGAGGCCTCTTTTATCAGGGTCCGCATGGACTCGACCACGGCGGTCTCCGGGCACGCGTCCAACGCCCGGGCCAACCCCACCCAATCGCTGGCCCAGACCAATCGACGAAAGGTGCGATAGTGGCCATAGTCCCACGTGTCGCACAACGCGTCCACCGGGTTCAACAACAGTGCCATCCACAGACGTTCGTCCAAGGCTTCCAGGACACGTTGCTTATCTTGGCGCGTGATCATGTTTCACCCCAAAAAAAATCACGTCGCCGCGAGCGCACCGGGGTTTTATGGAGCGCCCGCGACGACGTGGCGTGGACCCTATCGGACTCGAACCGATGACCCGCGGCTTGCAAAGCCGCTGCTCTACCTCCTGAGCTAAGGGCCCTTTTTTGAGTACGGGGCACCCCCGCGGCCAGACTCGGTCATGACTTGTCCCAGGGTAGCACTATTTTTTTGAACACCGGACGTGCCCACCACCGGCCGGGAGAGAACCCTGGCGGACATCGGACCGACCGCTCGCGCGGAAGCCCCCCGCACCCACTCCCTTCTTCACCCGTCCCCCTTTATATCTCCGTCCCTCGTCGTCGTCTCCCCCTTGTGGGACCCACGAAAAAAACACACACACCTCGATCAAGTTTTTAAGACTCGTTTAATGAAGGCAAAAAACAACGTCCAGAGACACAGCGTTGGGTGTCCGGTCCATCGGGTTCGTCCATGGCCGCTTCGTCCAGGGTGGTCTGGATCCAAGCCCGGACGCGTTCCCCCACGCGATGATCGTTCCACACGTAATCGCCGTCTCGAAAACTTTCCACATACTCCAGCAGGGTCCGTCCACGCACGCGGTCTTGCAGGTAGGTAAAGGCATAGTGGCCACACGTCAGACTGTCGTAGGCCTGCAGGGTCCTGTCGCTACGCACCACGTACTTCCAATGCTGGGCGATCCATTCGTGCAAGCCCGGGGCGTCGTAAAAGGTCAACGGCAACCCGTAACTATCCATCACGTCGCACACCCCCTGGTCCGTCCAGAGCGCCAACCAATGCTGGCCCGGGTCACCGGCCGGGTCCGTGTTGACGATGTAGGCACCTCGGGTGGTCTTGGGTGGGTGCGCGGGCAATCGATCGGAGGGATAGACGCCTTGGAACACGCGCTTCAACTCGGGGTCGGAAAGCGCCAAGGCTCTCAATTGACGATCACTCAACGCCACCAGTTCCATGGTCCAACTACACTCGGCGATCCTTTACGCTTTGTTATCATACGTCACGGCCCCCAGGTGATCGATGTAGATGACGCTTTCAAATTCGCCCCACACCAAGATGGTCATGTTGGTGTTCAGGGCCGCTCGGAACTTGATCTCCAGCCGCACGTTGCCGGTCTGCTTGGGATTGAGTTTGGGGCTATCGGCGTTCCCGCTGGGCACGTTGTTCCACATGTACAGGGTACAATTCTTGTTGTGCCCCCACTCGTCCGGTTTGACCATAAACTCGCGATGTTTGGCCACGGACCCGGCCGCGTCAAGAAGCGACGATAGCCTTCCCAATCTTTCAGGGTATTATTGCCGGCGAATTCCAGGGTGACGTACGGGTACTCTTCTCCCTCGATAAACTGTCGAATGGACGTCACCCCTTTGCTCTGGAAGGCAAACGGGTACTTTTCTTTGGTCCCATTGAACGCCGTGCTGTCCAAGATCCCCACGATCATGCGCTGGGGGACCCTCCCCAGAAAGAGGTTATCTTCCATCCAGACGGTGGTGGCCCCGTTGAAGGAGAACGTGCGAATCTGATCACTCACCACCGGGTACTTGACCACCGCCTCTTTGAGCTTGCGTTCCCGTTCCAGGGACCCGTAGACATCCGGGTTGAGATTCAATCGGCACAAATGCAAGGTGATGTCCACATCTTCTTCTCGCAACCGAACGTAGTTCTTGACGCCAGTGCCACTGGTCAGGGTCGCAAAGGTGTAGAAATCCGGACTGTTGAAGTGGAACTCAAAATTCATTTCCACCCCGGGTACCATGATCTTGCCCGTGTGGAACATGGGCAGGTACGGCCGCATGATCATCCGGACCACGTTGTTGCCCCGGAAAGGGGTCGTCAAGGTCTTGAGCAGGTTATTGTTATTGTGAGCCCAGCCCACCGTGGTACTGATGTCGTCGTCGCCACCCGCGGCGGCCAGCGTCGGGGTCACGTTCAAGAAATTGACCCAACCTTGAGGGGCCAGCAACGTCTCTCCATCGTCGCGGTTGTAGTTGAGCAGGGTCTGGAGAAAGGCCGAGTAGGGATAGGTGTCGGTCTGTTCGGTCATCAGGGTGCCATTGAACCGCACGTTGATCTGCTTGAAGATGGTGTGAGCCAGGTTGTTGACGGCGTACGTGAACTTGGTGTTGTTGGCATCCGAGGCCGCATTGGCATCGGCCACGATACCGTTCTGGGCCGCCGTGGACAAACGCAAGTCGACGATGAAATAACTGCGATTCAAATCCACGTAATCTTCCAAGGCCTGCACCGAGAACTTCATCGGCGTGATGCTAGCACTCAATTTGTGGTAGGGTACCATTTTGTAGCCCTGCAATTGATAGTCGGTCGAGGGGACCGAGAAAAGGTCCAAACTGCTCATGATGACGAGGACAACGACGAGTGCGTCTCCGCCTCAGCGGCGTCGCCGTTTTATACGTCTCATAAAGGGCGTCTCATAGGGCCTGGGGAACTCCTCGATCATGCGGGAATAGGTCCCTCCGCGCTGACCTCGACGTTGTCGGGCCAACAACCATTTGGTCAAATCGTACCCCGGCGGTTTGGGGACACTGGCACTCAACCATCCTCCGCGTTGGGCGCGACGTTTCTTGACTTGTCGCAGCAACCAGTTGCCCCCCGGCAAGGCGCGAACCATGCTCAGGAACGATCCCCCTCGTTGTCGGGCAAACGGCGAGGGTACGCTCCGTTGATAACGAGGCCGGGATTGCACCACCAACGGTTGTGGACGCCTCATCTCTCACACGCCCAACACGTCACGTAGACGTCCAAGTCCTTTCTTGCTCAACGACGTCCCTACTCTCTTGCCCACCGGGGTCGCCTTCCTCTTGGCCACCGTCGCGAGAATGGGAAGGGCCTTGCGTTTCAAGTTTCGTTTTATCTCGTGGCCCATGGCCTGCGCGCCGGCTTTGGCGAAATTGGCCAGAATGGGTCCCCCCACATGATACAACAGATCCGTCTTCAGGCCTCGACCCGCCTGCAGTGGCATGGGTGGTGGACGGTACCGCGTCAGACTGCCTCCCCACATGATGTGATACGTTTCCCCGAAGCACGCCCCTTTTTTATACGTCTCGTTGGAACACGAAGGTGACCAGGGTGCGCCCCGCCCCGAACTTCACCAACCCTCCCTGACTCTCGGCGATTTCCACCTCCACGTGGTCCATGTACTCGCGCCGACACGGTAACCATTGAATGTGCAAGGGCTCAAAGTAAGCCACCCCCTGGCCTTGGCGCCGGTACTCCACTTCGCGCACCAGCGCATGCAGTTGACCCCCGACGATATTGCTGTCCACCAAATCCGAGTAGACCAGAAAGGTGCGCGAGGGTTCCCCCACCACCGATCGGAAGGCCACGTTCAAGTTGAGGAAGCGCCAATTGAGGGTCTGACTCAACTGTAAGTGGTCGCTTTCCACTTTCCACAGGTCGTGGTTGTTCAGTTCCGTGTTCTTGACGTCTTTGTAATAATTCCCCGTCTGCTGCGTCTTGTGAAGGAGTTCGTAACGGAGATTGGGGCCCAAGGCGTACGTGTCCTTTTTCGTCTCCACCAACCACCCCATCAAGGTGGCCATGCTCACGTGCACGTGCCATTGCACGTACACCGTGCCGGACCTCGACTGGATGTCGCCCAACTCCTTGGCCAGCATGCGCAGGTCCTCGCCATCCCATTCGTACGTCACCCGAAACTTGTCGTAAAGTCGTTTACTCTTGGCTTGCGCTTCTTTCATCTCGGCAAACTGCGCTTTGTTGATGAGAGCTTTCATCAGACTCACCCCATCCAACACGCCGGGGTCGTTGAGCAGTTCCTTCATTTGGATGACGGCCTCATAGTGGACCGGGGTATCGTCCGTCAAACTGGTCACCATCTTGCTGCCTACCATGAGCACGCGTGGGTTGACGGCATTCGCGAGTCGCGACAAGTCCATGGCCGCGTCCGGGGTCGAGATGGTGGCCAGTCCCACCTTCCATCCTCCCCCACTCAAGGCCAACGGCACGGGCAGACGCACTTTGAACGAACTGCTGGTGTTGCTGGGAAACTCTTTGGTCGGATCGCTGACCAACACGATACGATTCATGCCTTGAAATGCAACGTCACTTGCGTCTCACCCGCCGGGTTCAAGGTCATCAACTGGCCGTTCGTCTCGGCCACTTCCACTTCCAGAATCTCCAGCGTGTCTCCACGCACCCGGTGATACTGCACGTGTTCCGGTTCCCACCGGATGGGTTGGTCTTTATAGGGCAGGTCTCGCAAGAAGTTCGTGATCTGCGTGCCCACGATACTGCTTTCCCCCACGTTACAATAGAGGTGCACCGGACGCGTGGCCGGCTCCCCGTGCGTCGCGGGTGTCACCGTGGTCTTTTTCTGTTTGTCTTGACTGCCCGTATGCGTGGGCGTGGTGGTCGTTTCGGTGGTACTGCTGGTCGACGTGGTGGTGGTGTCTCGTCGAATGACCGGATGCGCGTCGTACACGTCGTCGACTTGAGTGAAGGGCGGCTCGTGGGCGGGGATGGTGTACCCGTAGACCACCACGTAACATTGATCCGTCAACGTGGCCGGGTACGATTTGGGCACGCCGTCCATGGTCACCTTGAGGTACAACCGCGACGTATGGTCCGACTGCGGCGTCAGCCGGAAATCTTGCACGAGGCGATGGTAATACACCATGTGCGTACCACCGTATTCATGCACGTGCGTCGTCAACGCCGAGTCGATCATGCGCACGTAGAAACTACTCCAGGCACTCACGTTCGTCTTGTCAAACAACACCTGGTCGGTCGTGTAGATCTCGACGATGATTCGATACGTGAGCCCCTTGCTCAGCTTGGTGGTCCCGATGATCCAACCAAACTTGGGTTCGTACTTGTTGCCGCTTTTCGTCAACGTCATGCCGACGGTCTTCTTCTTCCAATAATGGGGGGAGCCTTCCAGATTGACAAACCCCAAGGACTTAATGCCTCCATCCTTGATCCACACGCTCTCGTCCTCCATGATCCATCGGAAATGATTCCACAGGGTCTTGGGAGGGACGTAGACGTGCGTGGTGGCCCGCGCATAGGCTTCGTCCAAATTCACAAACTGCCAATCCATCGCCATGGACAGATACATCATCCCCCCGTTCACGTGCACGTAGTTGGAAAACGTGAACAATTGATTCCTATCCGCGTCGGCCGCGAATTTCGGGGACTTGACCTTCTTCACGTGCGGGAACATCAACAAATTGGGTCCCAGGATATACGACCGGTCCTCTTTTCTCACCAACCATCCCATTTGTTGAGCCATCACCCGATTGAGCCCCAAGTAAGGGCGCGGTTTGTTGTAGGACAAGTTGAGTTTCTCATTCAAGATCCACAACGTCGGGACCCCCGCTTCGTCCTTCCATTCGAAGTGAAGATCATAATTCACGTCGGCCGACCCAAACACATACCCCGTATAGAGTTTCGTCCACTTGTCTTGTTCCATCCAACGGACCACTTTTTTCATAAACGTCACCCCCGTGGTGGCTTCGGGCATGTCGGCATCCTCCATGGTCACGGTGATGTCTTGCGTCGTGGTCGAATCGTCTTCCTTCATGGCCCGGGCATACAAACGGGCCAATCGCTGGTTTTCCGACCCCCTGAACAAATAGGACTGTCGATGTTCCGTGAGAGGCGCCACCGGCGCGGTGGGGGTGGACGTCACGGGATGCGACGTCACCCCATGCGACACCGTGTTGGGGGGTCCGGGTAAGTAGACCCCAGCCACCCCCACGTGCCAGTTCTTGACGCGCAACGGGTACGGCAATCGCACCTTGAACGACGCCGGGGTATTGTGGGGAAACTCCGGCTTGCTGGTGTTACTCAGCAGCGTGACGTAGAGTGATCGACTCGACGGTTCCATCTCTCGCGTGTGGTCCTCTCGGGTCAGACCTCTTTTTTATAGGAACGTCATCAATTTACGCTTGGATCCGGGGACCCGGCCCACCGTGCTATTCAAACTGGAACGTTTGGGCCAGACTTTTAAGGTATGATCGGCCTGGGGAAAGGCTTGCACCAATTGACGCAAGGTCGTGTCCAAACTGACACTCTTCCCGCGCTTGACCATACCTCGCAATTTAGCCCGGAACGCGCGCTTCTTCTTCTTGGAGGGTCGCTTCTTCTTCTTGGAGGGTCGCTTCTTCTTGGGTGGGGACCGTAGGGCACCCCGTTTCTTGGCATACTCTTCAGCACGATGGTAGGCATTGGCGTAGGCCCATTGCTCCTTGGTAGGACTGGCCCACTTGTCCCACCACGGACGACTCATTGGAGCGAGGTCAGACTACGTTTGGGGATCCAACTGTCGTATTTTCGGGGCCAACCTTTCCAACGCACCTTGACCTCGTGGCGTCGACGCTGTAACACTTTCTCCACGCGAAACAGCGCGTCGTCCGGCACGTCGACCTTCTGCACGTCTTGCTCGTAAAAGGTGCCTTTGACGGGCGTACCGTCCCACTCCTTGATTTTATAGGTAGCCACGGGGCCCGGCACGGCCCGGTCGATGAGAAACACCTCTTCGGTCCACCCGGGCAGATAGCCTTTCTCGAACGGACGGTGCTGTTTCTGCAACCGCACGCGATCCCCGGCTTTCCATTTCGGGCGCACGCGACGCGCCAGACGTTGGCCGTACAACCGTTGCCACACTTGGCGTTGGTTAGTCCACGTCACGTCGCGAGGGGCCAGGCCGATACTACGGTGTTTGGTCACGTTGTAGCCCTGCACCAACGCGGGTAACGCGTCCACGTACCGGTACGTGTTGCGAGCGGTAAAGTACCGGTACATGCGTTCTTTCAAGGTGCGATTGAATCGTTCCACCACCGACGCTTTGGTATCCCCGTAGGTCGAGAAATGATGAATCTTGCGACGTGTCATCAGGGCCTGGAACGTGCGGTTGTAAAACTCTTTGCCAGCATCCGTCTGCAATCGCACGGGGTGGCGTCCTCGGGCGCGTTTCAGGATGCGGTCGAACGCCGCGGCCACGGCCACGCCCGTCTTGCTCTTCAACGGTTCCACCCACGCGTACTTGGACAAGACATCGATCACCGTCAACAAATAGCGTATCCCCCGATTCCATTGTTTCAACGGTTGCATCTCCACCAGGTCGGCTACCCATTGGTCGTCCATCCCATGCACCACCACCGGTAAGGTCGGGAACCGTCGTCGCCGCGGTTTGTGCAAGGTGTAACTCAACAACCCTTGCAATTTCGCCCGGGCACGCGACACCGGCACGCCATGCGCTTGCGCCAAACGCGCGACACCCCCCAAACTCCCGCGCAACGAGGGCGTTTCGTAGGCCTCGGCCCAACTCACGCGGCGCTGCTGCTTCTTCCTCATATCGCACGCGCAATCACGACA